GGAAACCCAAGGAGGGGTCGCTATGAGTTGGGGGGCGACTCAAAGGCAAATAACAACAACAACAACAAGAAGTAGATTTGAAGAACAAGATGAAAATGATAGTATCATTTTCTGAAATTTATTTCTCTGTGCACAGATAGGAAAATCCTTAGAAATATGGATTAGCAGAGTAGTAAATGTAACTTAAATGCATATTATTTTTATTCCAATTATTGGTCTGATGAATTCTCTTTACCAAGAAGTAATCTACTCAACTTAAATTCTTCCAGTGAGGGAGAAATCATTACCTCTTAAAATATCCATCTACATCTTTAGATAGTTCAGTATTAAACCATTCTGAAAAATGGAAATACATTTTTTTATTATTGCTTTTTATTTTGATACAAAATTTATATACAATTAAGTTTTTAGTAAAATAAACAGAAAAAATAATAGCTTTCAACAATTACTGATAACTCTGCTCTATAATTTAATGGACTTGTGAGGTAGGGATTCATAAAGTCTAAGAGGCATAATATAAAAAAACTAATAATTTGAAACTAAAATTCCAGATATTTTCAACAACATCTCAGGCATGAAAAGTCAAAAGTGCACTAAAAATACTATAGATACAAGTAAATATTTGAAATTTATAGGAAAAAAATTTTGTAAATATTTGTTAAATTTAATTCAATGCACCAGAGAAACCCCTACTACCACAAGCACACATACACACACACATACACACACACATATATGCAATCAACCACTGTATTAATCTGGCAAAAGTAGAAAAGATGGCAAAGTAACAGGAAAAAGAATGAACCAAATGAAATGTTAGAAATAAAATCAAATATATAAATCAAGAACATAAATGTGAATGGGTTCATTTCCTTGTTTAAAAGACAAAATGTCTCAGACTTGGTATACATCATATTTTAATTAAAAATGCAAGTCTATAAAAACCACAAGTAATAAAGCTTTTAAAAAGTTGACAATAAAGAGCTAGACACAGATATATCAGGACAAAAAAGAAATACAAATTTCTGACAAATTGCTATTAGAAGCAAAAATCATTAAACATGACAAAGTAGCATGCTTTGTATTGACTGAAATGATACAATTCATGAACAATCTATTATAATACAGCAATATGCTTTGTTGAAGTTGCTTGCTTTCTTGAAAAACAAAGCAAGACATTTTTAATGTGAAATATCTAAAAAGTGGCATATTTTAATACACCTCCCTTAGAAACTGTGCACTGAAACAAAAAATAATATTATGAAGGTGCAAAAAGGACAAGGAGGCCACATGTTCTGACCTTCTCTAACCCCACAAGAGGAAGACAGAATCATCATCAATAGCCCAAGGCCTATTCCTGGGAGGCCAGACATGCTGCCTCCCTCCAGCCCTTTCTCCAACCGTTCCTCCAAAAGCACCCACCACCTCTCTTCTGGGTCCGATAGTTCACTGCAGCAGCCACACAGAACTCACAGATTATGGGGCTTTTTAGGGGAGTGCCAGATTACAATTCAAGTTTAGGAAAAACGCTCAGTCTTTCTCAGCCCGCCATCTCTCACAGTCTCTTTCCCAGCAGGACGTGTCTCTTTCAGGAGCACGTGTCTCTTTCAGCAGCACATCTTCCTCAACCAGCAGTCAGAGAGGTTCTGCCTCTAGGAGGCCTCCTTTTGAGCCTAGCAAAGTGGCCAAACTAGCCAATCATAGCATCAGAACTCTAAGCACCTGAGAGAGAATGGGAACCTCCTAGAACATTGTTTTGTGCCATTCCCAACAGAAATACTCCAGGTAGACAACTTTAGCCATCAGGAGCTCCTCAATTGCTCATAGCAAATCCCACCTTGGAGTTTACAAAGACTTATGGGTAGAAAAGCCACACAAAGTAATTTACTACACTGAAGAAGGATTTGAAAAATAAAACCACCCACCTTGATTGTATAAATATACATGGATGTGTGCATATTTATAGTTAATAAAAAATACATATTCTGTTCAAATGCCAATGGAATATTCAAAGTAGTCTGCATATTGTTGCTGTTGGGTGCCATCAAGTTTATCCCAACTCACAGAGATGCTATGCAACAAAGTACAACTGTCCCATAAGCTTTTCTCAGCTATAATCTTTATAGGAACAGATGACCAGGGGAAGCACATCACCAGGTCATTTCTTTGGCAAAGTCACTGAGCAGGTTTGAACCAGAAAGTTTTTGGTTAGTAGCCAAGCATTTGACCACTGCTCCATCAGGCCTACTAACATTAGGCCACCAAAAAACTCAATAATGTGTTATCTAACCACAATTCAATAAAACTATAGCAAAAAATAATAAAATTAAATAACTAAAATATAAAGCTACACATATGGGGAAGACAGCATGACAAAGGAAATCAAAGGCAAAATTATAGTCTTAGGGGAAAGAAATTAAAATGAGATTAATTAATAACCTATGGGGTATCACCAAAGCAGTATGGTACTCAGAGGAAACCTTAAAGCCCTAGTAAATGTATTAAAAGAGTAAGAAATAATATAAATACATATTCTAAGAAAGCAACACAGAATCCAGAAAAGATCAATAAAATAAATGAAACCAGGAGTAAAGAATTAATCAAAATAAAACAGAAAAAAAACAACATAAAAGAAGATAAAGCATAGCTTGAGATAGATGTTCTCCTAAATCAGATCTCTATTGTTCTGATGTAGAGAACTTAATCCCATCACCTTCTTCCCAGCTGAAAGGTAGCTTTGAAGACCCTGAGGCCTAGAACCCACTCCTTCACTCCTACAGACTTTGGCCTTTCATCCAATTCCATGTATTAACCCTTCCAGCTTGAAATGCCCAGGATGCTTCTGCTCTTAGGATTGAATTTTGATACATGATATGATATTTATGGTCAAAAAGACCCTTAAATATGGTTATCTGACATTTTTTTTTTTTTTTAATTGTGATTTGGGTGAAAATTTACAGAGCAAATTCATTTTCCATACAGCAGTTCACATACACTTTGTCTCATGACATTGACTACAATTCACCACAATGCAACAGCTCCCCTCCCACTTCCTCCTGATAGTTACCTCTTCCCTCTCTGATATGTTTGGTTTTAAGGAAGTGAATATCCAACTAGAAAAATAATAAGCCCATGACACATTCATTTAAAACAATTATTTAAACATTCACTTGAAGCCCAGACTATGCAACAGCTATAATAAATCACTACAGTAGGAATAAGAAATGCAGTCACAATGGGATGGATTGGCTATTTGTCACTGAACTAGAAAAGTTAAATAAAAAGAATGCATGTTAGTGAGAAAGGCAGAGTAAGGACTATAGAAAATCTACTTCATGAAAGAAATAAGATCATTGGCAAAAATCATCAGGAGTAGCTTTCTCAGAACTCTAGAAATTAACCAAAGGCTAACAACAATCCTGTAAGTATTATTCAAGAAAAATGATAGATCTCATTAAAAACATAAAGTTTTGTGGTATTTTAATTTGCCCTAGTCCCCCCATCACCTTCTCCCCAGTTTAGTGGTAGTTGAGCAGTAGTTCAGTGGTAGCCTTGAAAATCAGCAGCCCATGAATCACAGTTAAAAACAAAAACAAACAAAAAATAAAACCAGCCTCTTAGCCAGTGGAGGTGACAGAAAGGATTTAGAGCTCTCCAAAACACCATTCCTAGGGAATTGTCACTATTTGACCTCTTTGGCAGATCCCTGGAAATTCCCACTCAGAGGACTTGTCTTTATTTGATCATACTCAGAGTTCACTCAGTGCAAGCAGCCTGTTCTCCAGGGACTTTCATCTAAAATAATTAGGAGCAATTATTCCATATTATAGCTGCCTGAGGCAGAGAAAACAATTGGGACAAACAAGCACTGACCAAAAATTTTAAAATGGAAAATCTGGGGATGAAATGTCCACAGGAGGGTTGAAAGCTCTGACATACTTCTAGGAATATGAAAGACTACAAGCATGCACAGGTCTGGGGGTCCAGGGACAGGAAAGAACTGAGAAGATCCTAAGCTATCACTTCTGGCTGACTTTGAGGCTCTGCACAGCAGGAAATGAAGGCTAAAGCAAAGCTGTAAACTGTCTGGCCAAGTGCTTCCTTTGGCAGCACATACACTAAAATTGCCTGGCTGAGTGTTGAAGCTATGTTCAGACATGCATACCAAGACATGTCAGACATGTCCAGACATGCACACCAAGACCCTTGTGAAGGCTGATGCCAAAAGGGTGAGGAGGCCATATCTTCTGACCTCCTCTAACCACACAAGAGGAAGACAGAATCACCATCAGTAGCCCAAGGCCTATTCCTTCCAGGACAGACATGCTGCCTCCCTCCAGCCCCTTCACCAACCCTGACACCGACTGTTCTTTCCGCAGCACTCACCACCTTTCTGCTGGGTTCGATAAGTCACTGCAGTGGCCACGCAGAACTCACAGATTATGGGGTTTATTAGGGAAGCACCAGGCTACAATTCAAGTTCAGAAAAAATGCTCAGTCTCTCTCAGCCCACCATCTCTCAGCCAACAGTC